GGCATGACAAGAAATTAAAAGCAAAGGGGGAGGATCAAACAAAAAGAAAAAGTCATGACAATGATAACTCAATATACATCAGCTAAAACCATCAATGTTAGTGGTCTCAATTCACCAATCAAAAGAAATAGACTGGCAGAGAGGGTCAAGAAGCAATATCGAACAATATGCTGCATACAAGAAACACACTTAATTCAAAATGAATCTCATGCACTGAAGGTTAACGGGTGGAAAACAATACTCCATGCAATAGGAACCCGAAAAAAAGCAGGAGTAGCTATCCTCTTTGCAGATCAAATGGATTTCAAACCCACACTGATTCAGAGAGACAAAGAAGGACACTATAACCTTGTAAAGGGAATAATCCAAGAGGAAGAGACGACAATCATAAATATCTATGCACCAAACACTAGGGCATCCAACTATATAAAACAAATACTAATGGACATGAAAAACCATATAAGCACTAATACAATTAATGACAATACAACATATCAGAATCTATGGGACACAATGAAAGCAGTCTTATGAGAGAAATTCATAGCAGTGAACAATCATATTAGGAAAACAGAGTGAGCCCAATTAAACAACCTCATGCTGAACCTCAAGCTTCTAGAAAAAGAAGAGCAGGACAACCCCAAATCTCATACAAGGAAGGAAATTATAAAGATCAGGGCAGAAACCAATGCAGTGCAGACTAAGAAAACAATACAAAAAATCAATGAACCCAAGAGTTGTTTCTTCGAAAGCATAAACAAAATTGACAAACCTTTAGCCAACCTTATCAGAAAAAAGAAAGAAAAGGCCCAAATCCATGCAATTAGGAATGAAAAGGGTGAAATTAAAACAGACCCAGCAGAAATACAGATAATAATCAATACCTACTTCCAGAACCTATACACCAATAAGATGGAAAACAGAGAAGAAATGGACAGATTCCTAGATATGTATGAATTACCAAAGTTGAATGAAGAAGACCTAAAAATTCTAAACAAACCAATATCAATCAAGGAAATTAAAAATGTAAATAAAAATTTATCAACCAAGAAAAGCCTGGTCCTGATGGCTTCACCGCTGAATTCTACAAGACATTTAGAGAAGAACTAGTGCCACTACTGTTTAAACTCTTCAACAAAATTGAAAGGGAAGCAATACTACCAAAATTATTCCTGGAAGCAAGCATCACCTTGATCCCCAAAGCAGAGAAAGACCCAACAGAAAATGAGAACTATAGGTCAATCTCACTAATGAACATAGATACAAAAATTCTTAATAAGGTACTGGCAAATGTAATGAAGATCATCAAGATCATACACGGGCAGAGAAGCTCAGCTGGTCCCAGCACCCAGAAGGAAGCTCCCCACCTCCATCCCAGGCTCCTAGGACCAAGAAGGTCTGCAGACACCCTACGGAGAACATGCCGAATCCGCCCACTGCAGATAGGCAGCCACCTGGTTCCACACTACAAAGATGTAGAGGACACCACACCACCAGACCACGGTACTGAGTCCTGCTGCTCCCAGCCAAGAGGTAGGGGCTTCTGAGCCACCATCCCTCCCACCACTCCTGGCCCAGAGGGAAGGGCTTCTGAGCTGCCATCCACTATTCCTGGACCAGCGGAAGGGGCTTCTTGGCCACCATCACTCCCACTGCTCCCAGCCCACAGGAAAGGGCTTTTGGGTCACCATCCCTACCACTGCTCCTGGCCCCTGTCCCACCTCTCCCAGCTCAGAGGAGGTAATCCATCCAGGCTTCAACAGCCACCACCCCCCAAGTTGAAATGAGA